TTCCCTGGCAGAGGACAGCCATTTGCCTGGGCCAAAATTCACAGAAGTAAAGGGGGTTTTTCACCTGTTCCTTTTCTGAGGTACAATTTACAAAATTTGTTTAACCATCACCACCATCCATTGTACTTCATCAGAATTTAAAAATTTTGTCTTTTGATACTGTTAAGAGAATGAAAACTCAAGCCACTGACTAAGAAAGAATACTGCAAAGAGGGGTGCCTGAGTGGCTCAGTCCATTAAGAGTCTGCCTTCAGCTCAGGTCATGATCTCAGGGTCCTGGGAGCCAGCCCTCCATTGGGCTTCCCGCTCAAAGAGTCTGCTTCTGCCTCTCCCCACCCCGACTCTCTTTCTCTCAAATAAATAAAATCCTTAAAAAAAATACACCTACCATATGATCTAGCCATTTCATTCCTAGGTATTCACCCAAGAGAAAAGACAACATATGTCCATACAAAGACCTGTACACAAACGTTCACAGCAGATTTATTTGTAATAGCCAAAAACCAAGAATAGCCCAAATGCTCACCAAGGGGTGAATGGATAAACAATGATGTATCCATACAATGGAATACTATCCAGTAATAAAAAGGAATGAATTATTAATAACATGCAACAACGTGGATAAAACTTTAAATAATTACATGAAATTATGTGAAAGGAGATAGATTTAAAAAAAAGCACAAACAGTAGATTCCATTTACATAAATCTCTAGAAAATGCAAATTAGGGTGTAGTGACAAAAAAGCAATACGGTGCTGCCTGGGGATGGGAGTGAGAACAGGCGGGATTTACAAAAAGAAACATTTGGGGAGTTACGGAGATGTTCATTATCTTGATTATGGTGATGGTTTCATGGGTGCACAAATACCATACCCAACATATCCAACTGCATATTCTAAACATGTGCACTTTATCATATGTCAGTTATAAGTATGTCAGTCATACCTTAGTAAAGCTCAATAGAGTTCAACAAAGCGGTTTTCAAAAAATTTTAAAGGCTTAACCAACATCCCAAATCAATATGCACTTCAACCTGCCACACAATCTAAATAAAGTAAAAACACAGTCTGTAGAGGAGTCAGAGGCACGGTAAAGATCTAAGAGCTCGGGATCCCTGGGTGGCGCAGCGGTTTAACGCCTGCCTTTGGCCTGGGGCGTGATCCTGGAGTCCTGGGATCGAGTCCCACGTCAGGCTCCCTGCATGGAGCCTGCTTCTCCCTCTGCCTGTGTCTCTGCCTCTCTCTCTCTCTCTGTCTCTGTCTCTCATGAATAAATAAATGAAACCTTAAAAAAAAAAAAGATCTAAGAGCTCTTGTGATACCCACCTCAGCAGCTTGCTTGGTTAATTTCCCTCCACTCTCAGGCTTTGGGGTTGAATTTGACTCTGTTTTTTTCTGATTGGCTGTGGCCTCCAAGTTAACTGTGGGCTTCTCCCTAAATGAATTTTGTGATCACAGAGTCAACAAATATCACCATTTCACAATCAGTGGCAATTCTACGTCATATTTGCGATTTTAAGATATCTTTCAATTTTGAGAGTCTAGGAAACATTTTCCCTGAAGCTCATTTCTGTGATCATGCCATTAGTTGTCATACAAAATAACTGCAGATGATTGTTTAAAATGCTAATGATAGCAAATGAGTAGCTTTCAGGATTTGTGTGTGTGTGTGATCATCTTTCTTACATGTTTATCAAAGTGACACTTGTACATAGCTTTAAAAAAAAATGGTAGCGATACATAATGGCTTCTAATGAAATGCAACAGGCCTCTGCTCCCTCCTTTCTCTCTTCCTGTCCTACTGGGAGAGGCAAGCCCCCTTGAACTCTTGAGCTGTTTCTTCCAATAACTAGCTCCACCTTTCTGAGAAATCTCATTAAGCCTCAACACTATAACTGCAAGTATCCTGAAAGAAATCAGTATATTTTGTCCCTTGAAACAAAATGTCAAAAAAAAAAAAAAAAGAAACAAACAAACAAACAAAATGTTGTAAGAGAGGACTGAAACCTTGGGATATGCTTTGAGATCGTATATTGAGGTCAAAACAGCCTGGGTTTGGGGTGCCCGGCTGGTCCAGTTGGTAGAGTGGTAGAGTGTGTGACTCTCTGTCCCGGGTTTGTGAGTTCAAGCCCTACATTGGATGTGGAGATTACTTTAAAAAATAAAAATCTTTAAAAATAAGTAAATAAATAAGAGACCTGGGTTTGAATCCTGGCTCTGATCCTTGCTGTCTAACCTTGAGCTAGTAAATGAATGTGTCTGAACATCAGTTTGATTATAAAATGGAGATGAGAGTATTTGTCTCACTCACAGAGTTGTCAAGAAGGTTAAAGGAGAGAGAGCATACCTACCCGTCTGGTACATTACCAACAAAAAAAATGGCACTTTCTTTGCCTTTTCCCACACGTTACCTCTTCTCCCAATTATAGTGAATGGGGGTGGGGTATAGCCCTTTGGGGAACTTTCAGATCCTCAAAATTTTAAAAAAGAAGCAAACTGTTGTTAATGAAAGTGAATTGAGGAAATTTGCAAGAAGATTACATCATTCTTTAGTGAGATCAAGTGACCACGTGCTAAGCGCCAGTTTTCAGGGTCCTGGAGGTCTTGTGGCTAGAAATTGCTGCAAGGCAGGTCCTGTCAGTGGGCCTCAGGCCTGGTGGTAATATATATATTTTTTTAATTTTTTTTTCTGATGGTAATATATTATCAGAGGCACACCAGCCTTCCCTTCACTGGTTAGGGATAGGATGGTTCCTGTGGAAACCACCTCAGGATTTGCTTTATAGAACTACCTACCATCAAAGTGGGTTCTTCAAAGACTTCCCCACCCTAAGACCCAGTCCTTCCATACAGAGACTCTTACCCATCCTGGTTGCTTCTGCTCAGTTCTGAGGTTCCCTCTTGCAGCTCCTTGGGAGGGAGCTGGACCAACGCTTGAGATGATTCTTCTGAGGGGGAAAGGGGAGGATGCTATTTAAGTCACAACTGCCTCCTACAGGGAGCAAAATCTGTGAAGGGAGAGTTGGAGCAAGCACCCTGACATCCATGTAGAGGTGGGATCAGGGTTCCAGTCGAGAACCGTGCGAGGCCTGGTCAATCAGTTTTTGGGTAAATGAAGGGGACTGTGGGACTGGGTGCTAGAAAGGTCTGTGTCCCTGGGAAGGAGAGACTTTGGAACTCCCAGGGATAGAATCAGGGAGAGGATGAAGTGAGATCCCAGAAATCTGCGGGCTAAGCTGACAACAGAGCCATTGTCAACTCTGCCTGTCAGGAAGCCGCTACCTCTGCTTCCACTTCCACCCAAAACAGGGAGGCGCTGGAGGCCTGGCTCACTTTGATTAAATTACCAGCAAAAGATCATTCCCGCTTTGTCGAATATTAGTTGACCATAGAGTTGAGGGCCCATTCCTGAGTTCTCTATTCTGTTCCATTGATCTATGTGTCTGTTTTTGTGCCAGTACCACACTGTCTTGATGACCACAGCTTTGTAGTACAACCTGAAATCTGGCATTGTGATGCCCCCAGCTCTGGTTTTCTTTTTTAATATTCCCCTGGCTATTTGGGGTCTTTTCTGATTCCACACAAATCTTAAGATGATTTGTTCCAACTCTCTGAAGAAAGTCCATGGTATTTTGATAGGGATTGCATTGAATATGTAAATTGCCCTGGGTAGCACTGACATTTTCACAATATTAATTCTTCCAAGCCATGAGCATGGAGTATTTTTCCATCTCTTTGTGTCTTCCTCAATTTCCTTCAGAAGAAACTCTAGGTTTTTTCCCCCCCCACAGGAATCACCACTCCATTTTTTGTTAAGAGAAAAAAGACAAATCATTGTCAGGCTGTAGTGCCTACATCTGGCAACTGGATATAATCGCATTGGACCTAGAACACCTTTCCTTGTGGGAAGAGACATGGAAAAAGATTATTTGAAAAAAAGTACAATCTAGTATGAGCCAGGCAGAGATGTAAAAAGGTACAAGTGCTCATCTTGAGAAGAAAGTGGGACCAGGTTAGGCCTGAAGGGAAGTGTAGCTCCCTGGGCAAAGACAGTGAAATAGCTTCTGTGTGCTATTCTAGATGGACATTCCAGAAACAGCAAGAGGGAAGGTTGGGGTTGGGGTGATCCTACAGGTGTGGGGATGACCCTGAGGACAAGCAGAGCCTTCAGGGAGTTTTATGCAGGGGAGGGATGGGGTCAGATTTGCACTTTAGGAAGTAAACGTAATTGTTTTGCTCCATAAAAGGGAAGCAGTAACCTTTGCCTTCCACCCTGTTAAGCTGAGGAAGAGCAAATGAGAACACTGATGGCTCTAAAATGTTACCCAGACTTGACAGCACGGGATGTGGTATGTGGGGTGGTGGCTTTAGGATGGGGAGATCAGCTGGGACAAGCAATTTATCTGATGTCTGTGTTCCCATCCCTCTTGTAGGTAAGAAAGGGCCTGACATATCTCCACAGAGCTCATCAGCTTTCTCAGCCTCTGTGTGAAAGAAGCATGAACAGGTTGAAAATTAAACATTTAACCAACTGTGCAGGGTGGGGTGGAGTGAATTTGCCAAGTATGGGGAACACCAAAGCTGGGCCCATGGCCAGGGCTGGACTTGCTGAAGTTTTGGGTCTAGCACAAGGACTTTTTTTCCCCCGAGATGCATTATAGAACTGTGAAAAACAATTTTCTCAGTGTGGCTTGAACGGTGGCCTCTGAGCCTTCTCTTGGTTGCTGTCACTAAGAGGGTCCTCTCCCAGTAGCTGTCAGCAGTTGCCATCTTTGTGGGTCTGATCTTCCAAAGTAGTAGCCTCTGGCTGGATGCACAGATCTTTGTACACTGTCTCCACGGTGTGGCACACTTGTTTGAGCTCTGTTTCCAAATGGCTGATCTTTGCCATTTTCTGGGTGAACTCTTGGAGCTTGTCTATACCTGTAGTTTTTAGGGTATAGATCCTTTACCTCTTTGGTTAGGTTTATTCCTAGGTATCTTATGCTTTTCGGTGCAATTGTAAATGGGATTGACTCCTTAATTTCTCTTTCTTCAGTCTCCTTGTTAGTGTATAGAAATGCCACTGACTTCTGGGCATTGATTTTGTATCCTGCCACACTGCCGAATTGCTGTATGAATTCTAGCAATCTTGGGGTGGAGTCTTTTGGGTTTTCTATGTACAGTATCATGTCATCTGCAAACAGGGAGAGTTTGACTTCTTTGCCAATTTGAATGCCTTTTATTTCTTTTTGTTGTCTGATTGCTGAGGCTAGGACTTCCAGTACTATGTTGAATAGCAGTGGTGAGAGTGGACATCCCTGTCTTGTTCCTGATCTTAGGGGAAAGGCTCCCAGTGCTTCCCCATTGAGAATGATATCTGCTGTGGGCTTTTCGTAGATGGCTTTTAAGACGCTGAGGAATGTTCCCTCTATCCCTACTCTCTGGAGAGTTTTGATCAGAAATGGATGCTGTATTTTCTCAAATGCCTTCTCTGCATCTATTGAGAGGATCATATGGTTCTTGTAATATTCGACAAAGCAGGAAAGACTATCCACTGGAAAAAAAGACAATCTCTTCAATAAATGATGCTGGGAAAACTGGATAGCCACATGCAGAAGAATGACACTAGACCATTCTCTTACACCATACAGAAAGATAAACTCAAAATGGATGAAAGATCTAAATGTGAGACAAGATTCCATCAAAATCCTAGTGGAGAACACAGGCAACACCCTTTTTGAACTTGGCCACAGCAACTTCTTGCAAGATACATCTATGAAGGCAAGAGAAACAAAAGTAAAAATGAATTATTGGGACTTAATCAAAATAAAAAGCTTCTGCACAGCAAAAGAAAACAGTCAACCAAACTAAAAGACAACCTACAGAATGGAAGAAGCTATTTGCAAATGACCTATCAGTAAAGGGCTAGTATCCAAGGTCTATAAAGAACTTATTAGGGATCCCTGGGTGGCGCAGTGGTTTAGCGCCTGCCTTTGGCCCAGGGCGCAATCCTGGAGACCAGGAATCGAATCCCACGTCGGGCTCCCAGTGCATGGAGCCTGCTTCTCCCTCTGCCTATGTCTCTGCCTCTCCCTCTCTCTCTCTCTCTGTGTGTGTGTGACTATCATAAATAAATAAAAATTTAAAAAAAAAGAACTTATTAAACTCAACAGCAAAGAAACAAACCATCCTATCATGAAACGGGCAAAAGACATGAACAGAAATCTCACAGAGGAAGACACAGACATGGCCAACATGCACATGAGAAAATGCTCCGCATCACCTGCCATCAGGGAGATACAAATCAAAACCACAGTGAGATCCCACCTCACACCAGTGAGAATGGGGAAAACTAACAAGGCAGGAAACCACAAATGTTGGAGAGGATGTGGAGAAAGGGGAACCCTCCTGCACTGTTGGTGGGAATGTGAACTGGTGCAGCCACTCTGGAAAACTGTGTGGAGGTTCCTCAAAGAGTTAAAAATAGACCTGCCCTACGACCCAGCAATTGCCCTGCTGGGGATTTACCCCAAAGATTCAGATGCAGGGAAATGGCAGGACACCTGCACCCCGATGTTTCTAGCAGCAACGTCCATAATAGCCAAACTGTGGAAGGAGCCTCGGTGTCCATGGAAAGATGAATGGATCAAGAAGATGTGGTCTATGCATACAATGGAATATTCCTCAGCCATTAGAAACGACAAATACCCACCATTTGCTTCGACATGGAGGGACCTGGAGGGTATTCTGCTGAGTGAAGTAAGTCAACCAGAGAAGGACAAACATTCTATGGTCTCATTCATTTGGGGAATATAAAAAATAGTGAAAGGGAATAAAGGGGAAAGGAGAGAAAATGAGTGAAAATATCAGAAAGGGAGACAGAACATGAGAGACTCCTAACTCTGGGAAACGAACTAGGGGTGGTGGAAGGGGAGGAGGGCGGGGCGTGGGGGTGACTGGGTGGCGGGCACTGAGGGGGGCACCTGGCGGGATGAGCACTGGGTGATATGTTGGCAAACTGGACTCCAGTAAAATAAAATAAATCCTTAAAAAAAAGATCATTCCCCAGTAGGCACTCATTCCGCTTAACCGGCTTTTCGCAGGATCAACGGGCGGCCACGCGAAGGAGCCCTCAAGGAAACTCTGGGGCCTTTTCTGGGGGCTCCGACGGCCCGCGGGGACCCGAGAGGCCGGGGCGGGGCCTCCGGGCCGGGCGGGGCGGGGCGGGGCGGGGCGGCTCCGTGGGGAGGGGCCGCTTGCTGCGGCGGGTCCGGCGGTACCTGCGGCTCGCGGGGCGAGCTTGGGGCGTGGCCGGCGGAAGCGAGAGAGGCGCGGCCTGCTGTCTCCGCCGGCGGCGGGGCTCAGGCCCATCCCGCCGCTGCGGCTCCGCGCCAGGCCGGACGCCGTGGGCCTCCCGGGAGGGTGGAGGCCGCGGGCGCAGCGCGGCGAGGCCCTGCGGGGGGCGGGCGGGCGGGCGCCTGGCCGGGAACGCGGGGCGCGCAGCCAACGGCGGCGGCGCGCGGGCGCCCTGCGCTGGGCGGAGGGACGAGAGGGCGCTCGGGGCGCCGCCTGAGGCCCGGGGAAGGCGGGGAACGGCGGCGGCGGCGGGGCGGCGGGGCGGCGGCGGCGGCGGGCCCTGCGGGGCGGGAGGCGCCGCTGAGCCGCAGGTGCGGAGGCGGGAGGCGCGGCCCCGCGCGGCTGCAGAAGCCGGTTGTCGAGCAGCCGAGGGACGAGGACGAGCGCACTGATGCCAGATGAGGAGCGTCTGCGGGGGCACGCTCAGGAGTAGAGGCTTGAGGGACTCGAGGTTTTTATGTGAATTATTTCTGCGCCTTAAATTATACATTTCAGAGCTAATTATATATATATGTGACTTATACAAAAGAACACAGGCGGGGGTGGCCGGGTGGCTCAGTCCGTTAGGCCTGGAACTCTTTTTTTTTTTTTTTTAAGATTTTATTTATTGATTCATTCATGAGAGACAGAGACACAGGCAGAGGGAGAAGCAGGCTCCATGCAGGGAGCCCGACGTGGGGCTCGATCCCCAAACCGGGATCTCGCCCTGGGCGCGGAGGCAGGCGCTCAACCACTGAGCCACCCGGGGGTCCCAGGCCTGGAACCCTTGATAACGGCTCAGGTCTTGATTATAGGGTGGTAAATCCTAGCCCAGGGCTGACTCCCCGCTGGGCGTTGAGCCTACTTCAACAGCAACAACAACAACCAGCAAAAGAACACATGGAATACGCGATAATAAAACTACTCCCCATGAACACACCAGTCTACTTAAGAATGGAAGGTAACTAGCCCAGACGCCCGTACCTGTGTGCTCCTCCCTTAGCCCATGGCCCCGCCACCCTCTGCCAGAGGGAACCTCTTCCGACTCTTATGTCTACTATGTCCTTGCCTGTATGTATATGTATTTGAGAGAGAGCAAGCGAGCGCAGGGGCAGGGGTAAAGGCGCAGGGAGAAGCTGACTCCCCGCCGAGAATGGAGCCTAACACCGGCTGGATCCCAGGACCCTGGGATCATGACTTGAGCCACGGGCAGCCACTTAATCAACTGAGCCACCCAGGAGTCCTCATGCCCTTACTTTTTAAGATACCTTTTTAAAATCCCCTCTTTGTACTCCTCATACATCATTTCATTGCATATTTGAAGCTTTAAAAAAATAATATTCTGTATGTTCTCTTCTGCAACATCTTTCAAAGCTGTTTTTCTAATAAATACATATTACTGTATAGGTCTGTGATTCATTTTCCCTGTTGGAAAATATTCCATTTTGTGAATATACCACAATTTAAGGATCTAGTGATAAAGCCAAGTGTTTTTTTTTTTTTTTTCCTGATGTGGAATTCAAAACTATTGAAAAGAACCCAAATTGTGTCCTGGTGGATGCATGCAAGAGATTATACAGAATTTAGTGCTTGGGAAGGTATACAAATGTTCAACTTTACAACAGAATACTGAAACATTATCCTAGTTGAGGGCTCCAGTTTCACTTCTACCAGCCATATGTAAGAATTCTTGTGAGTTTACATCTTCACTAACAGTACTGTCATACTTACTTTTCCAGATGAATGGATGTAAAATAGTATTTTCCTAAAAAGTTTTACTAAAGGGTGCCTGGGTAGCTTGGTTGGTTAAGTGCCTGCCTTCTGGGCTCAGGTCATGATTCCAGGGTCCTGGGATGGAGCCAACGCCAATGACCTCCCTGCTGTTTCTCTCCCTCTCCCTCTGCTGCTCCCCCTCCTTATGCTCCCTCTCTCTCTCTTATTCTGTCAAATAAATAAAATTTTTAATAATAAAAAAAGTCTTACTAGAAATTTTAATTTGCATTTCACTGATCACTAAGATTGAAACCTTTGCATATATGTATTAGCCATTTAGATTTCCTCTTTTAAAAAGTGCCTGTTTGTGTCTTTTGCCTAATTTTCTTTGTAATTGTCTTCTTATTAATATGTAGAAGCCTTGTCTGTATTCTTGCTGCTCATCTTTGTCAGTTGTACTTGTTTACACATATTTTCTTCCAGTTAATGGCTTGTCTCCTAATAAAGAGAAGTTGACTTTAATGAAGTAGAGTTTATCAGTCTTCTCTTTTGTGGTTAGCACTCTGTCTTTCCATGAAGTTCTTTCTTGCTGTAAAGTCAGAAAAATATCCTCCTATATTTTCTTATAAAGGTTAAAAATGTCTTTTTTGTTTAATTTTTCTGGAATTGATATTCCCCATAGGAATAATCCCCATATGATTTATCTCCGCCTGGCTTATTAATAGTTTTTTTCCCCCCAAGTAATGAGCAAGACCATCTCTGTCATGTGTCAGGCTTTTGTGAATTAGCAGGAACATCGTTGGCTGTATTCTACTCCACCGGCAAAGTGTCTGTCTTTGTGCTACTGTCATATGATCTTTTTTTTTTTTTTCTGTCATATGATCTTAATGACTATATCTTTATGATAAATCTTGATATATGGCTATCTTGAGACTCCTCCCCCCCACTTCTTTATTCTTCCATGGGATCTTCTCAACTTTTCTTGGGCTTTTGCCTTTCTATAAACATTAACTTGCTAAATTGCTCAAAATACTCTGTTGACATCTTGATTGAAATTACATTGAGTCAATATATCAATTTGGCAATTTTGACATTTTTACAAAATGGAGTCATCCAATCGATTACATGTTTTGTCTGTTAGGTCTTCTTTAGCATCTTTTTTTTTTTTTTTTTTTTTTTATTTATGATAGTCACAGAGAGAGAGAGAGGCAGAGACACAGGCAGAGGAAGAAGCAGGCTCCATGCCCCGGGAGCCCGACGTGGGATTCGATCCCGGGTCTCCAGGATCGCGCCCTGGGCCAAAGGCAGGCGCTAAACCGCTGCACCACCCAGGGATCCCTTCTTTAGCATCTTTTAATGAAGTTTTATATTATTCTTCATAAAGATCTGATCTTGGGTATATTACATTCTCCCCTCTACTCACTTGGAAGTTTACACTCTAATTTATTGCCCTTGAAATTTTAACATGGATGTTCAAAGTCTAAAAGTAATGTCTTAAACACCTCTCTCTGAAACAATGCCAGGACGTCAGACACTCACCACGCCTGCCTTCCTCTCCCATGTTATTCTAATTTTGCCCTTTTTAAAGACCAAATTCACGTTATTACCTCTCATATATTACATAGACATTTGTTTAGATTTGCTTCTTGCCACTACCTTTGCTTATTACTCTTTCTTGCATTGCAGATCTTGCCTCTGAGGCCATCTTTCTTCTTCCAGAAACATAGCCCATTGGAACTCCTATCATGAGGATCTTTGGTGATTAACTCCTGGCTCTCATGGTGTCCAAATAAAGAGCCCAGACACCCTTGTGGCATCATGTGAAGGAGCTAAGATGGAGGAGCAAGAGCTGAGGGGCTGTTCAGACAACCAGGCTGGGCTGGAGGGCTGAGAGAGGAATGATTCTGTACTTCTGGAAGGACCCAAAGGGAGGCCAAGGAGTTTTTCTGAAGGGATCCTCAGAGAGTGACAGAAAGTACTGGAGTAAAAGAACTTTGCATGCACATCCTCTCTACTAAGACCACATGACCAGAGGCCCCAGCACTAAGACTAGAATGGCACAGAGCTGGACAGAGTCCATGAACTGCCTATGGCTTACCCAGGGTCTGGCAACTCTGATCTTCCTCCTTGCCCCCACATGCAGTAGTGCCTAGAGCGTGTTACTCTACTCCCAGGCCTTTAGGCCATGCATCTCACCCCAGGTAAATAGGAGATGAGATCAAAGCTGTACACTAACTTGTGGTTTCAGTTAGGTTTATTTTCTTGGTGTGTTTTTAAAATTTATTTTTGGGTTTTGTTTGATTTTGTTACTTTTTATTATGGGAATTTTCACACAAAAATAAAAGTAGAGGAAACAGAAAAAAAGGACCCTCATTTACCTTTCACCCAGCCTCTCCAGTCTTCAGTACATGGCCCAGTCTTGCTTCATCTATGACCCCACCCACTTCCTCTACACCCGGAGAATTTTGGAGCACATGCCAGATGGCATATCATTTCATCTGTAAATATTTCAGTATATATCTCTAAAAGATGAGGAGTCTTTTCAAAATGAAGATGACCAGGCTACCATTAGCACATTTAAAAACACTGTAGCAGTTCCATAATGTCATCAAATTGCCAATCAATGTACACATCTCCCTGATTTAGCTTATGTTTTCTAAGTGGTTTTCATTTGAACTGAAATCCAAAGGAAATGCATACATTACAACCAGTTGGTGTGCCTCCTACTTGAAAGATCAATTAAAGTAGAGTCAGCACCTCCCACTACCTACCACCCATTGCCTGTTTTCGTTTGGCCTGAGAGCTAAGATTGGTTTTGTACATTGTTAAATGGTTTTCAAAATAAGAGTATTTGTGTCATGTGAAAATTATATGATATTCAACTTTCAGCATTCATGTTTGATTTAAACATAACCATTCCCAGGGTGCCTGGCTAGCTCAGTCAGTTAAGCCTTCGACTCTTGATTTTGGCTCAGGTCATGATCTCAGGGTTGTAAGATCAAGTCCCGTGTTGGCTCCACACTGGGTGTAGAGCTTCCTTAAGATTCTTTCTCTCCCTCTCCCTCTGCCCCCCCCCCCGCTCGCTCACTCTCTCTAAAAGAATAAAAATAAATAAAGATTCATATACTTTATTTTCAGGTTATCTATGGCAACTTTCCCACTACAAGGGCAGAGCTGCATAGTTACTGTGGCATCTAAGACTTTATAGGCATCAAAGCTTAAAATATTTATTCTCTGGCTCTTTACAGAAAATGCTTCCCAACCTCTAATCCCATATGTTTCTCCTCCACCTCTTTTCTTCCTCATAACTTATTTTTTTTAAGATTTTATTTATTTATTCGTGAGGGACACACAGAGAAGCAGAGACATAGGCAGAAGGAGAAGCAGGCTCCATGCAGGGAGCCCAATGCCCAAAGTGGGACTTGATCCCAGGACTCCAGGATCACCCCGGGCCAAAGGCAGACGTTTAACCACTGAGCCGCTGAGCCACTCAGGCATCCCGTTCCTCGTAACTTTTTAATTGAAGAAACGGGTTCACTGGCTTAGGCAGCACATATACTAAAAGTGGAATGAGAAGAAATGATTAGCATGGCCTCTCTGCAAGAATGATATGCAAATTTGTGAAGTCCATATTTAGAGGGGAAAAAAAAAGAACCAGTGTTATTTGTCTTGTAAAATCTCCCACAGTCTGAATTTTGCTGCTGTTGTTTAACATGATCATTCATGCCCTATATTCCTATACACTGGTACCTAAATATAGACTCAATCAAATTCAGATTAGGTGACTTTTTCTTCAGGAGGATTCCATTAGTAGTGATGTGTTCTATCAGGAAGTAAACAGGTCTGCTTCTGTTTCTGTGGTGTCACCAACATTGATGATCGGTGCTATACTGTATTGAGTTTCAGTAACCCGAAGTGACTGGAAAGTGACAGGAACCCAGCAGGAAAGAGCCAACCCACATGGTGTAGGTGGGGGGGGAAAATCAAGCTATGTCAAGTTTTTGGTTGAGATTCTTCAATAAACTCATGTTCCATTGGGTAGGGAAGAAGGTTCATAGGATAAACACAAAAGTAACAAGAAGTGTTATGTAAGCCTACTGAAGTTATGAGGGATGCTTGCTCTTTCCTGCATTTCACAGTACCTCCATCCACATGGTTTGATCTCTTTGGGGGGAAAAGAATAAATAAAAAGCAGCTGGCTTTGTCCTATTGGTTTTTCCCCTCCAGTGTGTCATCTCTTTCCAATTAGACTGGAAGTTCCTGAAAAGCTAACCTAACATTTGGTTACTCAATTGGTTACTGGTAAATAAATAGGTAAATTTGCCTCAATGAGGATCTGGGGCCAGTTAGAAGAGCATGTGTCTAGTGTGTGCTTGGGCCAGGGCTCTATACCTGCTGGGGAAGAGACAGAAGTTGCTGGCAGCGGCCGCACAGGAGCCAGAAACCAAATGACTCCTTACAGTCATTCATTTTTTAAAAAATTAATTAATTAATTAATTAATTAATTAGTGAGACAGAGAGCACATGAGCAAGGGGGAGGCGCAGAGGGAGAAGCAGACTCCCTGCTGAGCATGGAGCTGAAGATCCCAGGGTTCTGGGATCAGGACCTGAGCACAACGCACATTCTAACACCTGGTAACTAGAATGAGACTATCTATCTGAACACACCTCAGATGGAATCATCCCCCCCCCCCCCCCCCCCCCCCCCCCCCCCGCTTCCACCGCACAAAGCACCTTCAGCAGCCCAGCTCTTCCCACCCACCAAGATCTGAGCAAACTTCCTTGCTCTGCTGGTTAAGACCTAAGTCAGTGAGTGCCTCTCAAACACCAGCATGCATCAGAATCACCTGGAGAGTGTGTGAAACTGCAGCTTCCCGGACCCTGCCCCCAGGTGCCCCCAGAGCCGACCTCCTCAGCTGGTCCGACTGGGCCGAGAGTAGGCATTCCTAGCCGGCTTCCAGGCCACGCCGCACTTGAGGAGCTCACTGAGACGTCTTCCCCCAGGGCCGCCCACGCATCTCCCAAATCGGGATAAAGTTGAACGGTTGTGCTGCCTGTTAAAGCGAAGGGTTTACTAGAATCTGAGCCAGAACTGGAGCCACTCTAGTCCAAAGAATCATGGGGGATCTCAGTAAAAAGGCAGATACCTGGGCCCACCCCCAGACTCTTTTGGAGTCACCCTCTCTATACAGAGATGAGCAAAGGGAGTCACAGAGAAGGCAAGTGACTTGTTCCAGGGCACACAGCACGTTAGAGCAGAGGCTGAGCTGGAACCCGGGCCTTCTTCACCGCGGAGTAGACTGCGGGCACGCCTCAGGGAGGTGGGGGGGGTGTCTCTCCTCCTGCCCCTTTCTCACCACCCCCCCCCCTTCTGGTGATTGCAGCTGGGCCCTGGCATTTGTGGCTGAAGCTGAAAGGGAGCCTCGTGGGACTATAAATCATGCAAAAGAGAGAAAAGTGGAGGAAGGGTTTGCGGAACAAGGGGAAGAGATGAGAACCTCTTGGTGGGAGGGGAGTAGGGACTGAGAAGCCCTTCGCTGATGTCCAAGAAGCTGGGGGTGGGGCTTCTCCTGAGACCTGACTACTTGTGTCCCCACCCCTGCCTCTGACTGGGGAGGACTCCGCAGGGAGCCCAGGGAAATCACAAACCCCCACAAGGCCCTAAAAGAGCCTCCCTCTGCCCTCCCTCTGCAACAGCTCTGTGTTTCAGGTCCCCACGCACACGGGGACAGGGGGCTGGTCAGTCAGTTGCTTAGTTCAAGCTTCTTGCTCTGGACTCGGGTTTCTGCTGACAGCCCCAGTCTGGCTGGTGGGATTGGAGCTGGGGTGTGGACCAGAGGTGGACCGCGGCCCAGACCTGCCCTCTCACCTGGGCACAAGTGAGGCTAACAGCTGGGAGAGAGCTGTCCTGGCACCTAAGATCCTGGCTGGGAAACGCCAGTGAGGGCAGGGCTCCAGGAATCTGGATCTGCAGGCTGAGTTGGAGGCACTCCACTCCCATGTCACCTGGAGAAAAACTGGACCCACTTCCTGACATCTTCATCTTGCAGCCACCTGTCTTCCATCCGGTGAGCAGCCATTCTGGTCTGGAATCTCCAGGTCCCAAGGCTCCCCCTACTCCAGCTGGACCCAGACTCCCTGAGGGTGCACTTGCCTAGGAATGACTGGGCTCACAGGGTCCTTATATTTTAAAAGTAGTAGCGCCTGGGGTCAGTGCTGTGCCTCTACTGCATGATGGGTGGCTCGGAGGATCTGGGGCTACTAGGGAGAATTGTTGCGGGGGCACCCTGAGTACCCAGGGTAGCCTCATCTCCAGCCTGGAAGAAAATCAGGCTGGAACCTCCAACTCGAGGTTGAGTGGGGGGTCCCCTCCCTTCTTCCTCCTGCTCAGGGCCCATGCAAATTGTCTTTTTTTTTTCCATGCAAATTTTCTGAAGTCTGCCCTTGCTTTACAGAAGGCTGAATGCCCAGCACACTGTGTGCTCCCGTTAATGAATGCTAATTATCACTTTCTCTTTACTTGGCCCTCTCCCTGGGGGTTTGGGGGGAGGGTGGTGAGCTGCCTCAGCTCAGTAATCACAGGCCAGGCCTGGAGCCTGGGAAGTGGAGGAGACTGAGGTACTAAGCCTGGCTATGCTGTGGGCCCTCTGACAGCCCACCTCCCCAGGTGCCTGAGCAACGGGTGAAGCAGCTGCCCAGGTTACAGCCACTCCTTGCTTTGCAAGCTGCGAGGTCCTGGAAGGGCAGCATTGTTGGGGCTCAGTTCCTTCTAGATGGTTCGGGCTTCTAAAGGCTGCTGACAGCTGGAGGGCACGTGAAAGCGAGTCTTGTGTTATGTCAGCATGTGCTTGCGACACGTTCACATTCGTTCTGCAAACACCTAGTGGAACACCTGTGCCAGGGCTAGTGCGGAGCACAGAAGGGAAAGACAGGGCTTCAGCTCTGAGTGGCCAGTGCCTCCAGCAGAAACAGCCAGCCCCCTGGTCTCCCTGTGAGCTGGCCAATGGCCAAACTAGACCTGCAAGTGAAGCATTCTGGGAACACAGGGGAGGGAAGGAAAAACTCAGTCACGTGATGGACAGTGCTTGGAGAAGGTGTCAGAGAACCTTGAAACTCAAGTTGGATCTCACAGGGCAGAGGGAGGGCACAGGAAGCAGCCCTGAAAAGGCAGGGAGTTGTAAACGTGTATTGCGTTTTAGGAGTTCTGCATAGCTTCTGTGTGGGGAAAGGTGAGCCCAGGCTGGTAGGCTAGGCCACTGTTGGGTATCTCTCCAAGTATTCATATCAGGGTCCCAACTTGTCCAGCCTCCTGCCCCCCACCACCCTTCCAGATCCTGAGCTCTAGCCAGTAAAAAGTCCTCAGGACCTCGACACCAGGCCTCTGGAAGCCAGGGTGGCATCCAGTGGACATCAGGTCTCACTGAGGACACGACTATGCTCAAGGAGCGGGGGAGAGGGGCAAGGCTGGTGCTCCAAGGGGCCAATGGAGCTGAATTTGGCAACGTGGCTTTGACATGTGAAGGTCCAGGAAAGGGGAGAAAGTGCAAGAGCACATTTCAGAGAAAACAAATTTTTCTCCATAAGGACATTTTTCTGTTGGGGAAGGAGAATCAAATTTTCTTCTTCTCTGCCCACCCACCTGCCTGACATGGGGGTCCCTAGTAAGACCCTTTCTCCAACCCTCTATGGATAGCCTTCTCCCCTTTTTCAGGTGGTTCCTTATGTCACAACCATTTTCGGCGGCCTGCGTGCAGGCAAGATGGTCATGCTCCAGGGAATGGTCCCTGAAGATGCCCACAGGTAAGGAGTGCACCATGGCACTGCTGGAGCTCAGCCCCAGGGGCATTGAGCTGGAGGCTGCTCCCTGCCTTCAGGGTCTCGGGGCTTCTGACCAGGGGTGCCTTTTGAGAGCACCTCTCACCAGGTTCCAGGTGGACTTCCAGTGCGGCTGCAGCCTGCATCCCCGGCCCGATATCGCCATCCACTTCAACCCTCGCTTCCACACCACCAAGCCCCACGTTATCTGCAACACCCTGCAGCACGGGCGCTGGCAAGCCGAGGCCCGGTGGCCCCACCTGACCCTGCAGAGAGGAGCCAGCTTCCTCATTCTCTTTCTCTTTGGAAACGAGGAAATGAAGGTGAGTAGAAGGGATGGACATCATTGCCTAGAACCTGTGTCCGTCCTTCCGCTGAGCTGCCCACATCATTGTGTTGAGGGGCATTGCCAGGAGGGCTCAAGAACCCAAGCAGCCAGCAGGCCCCATTCCAAGCTGCCCGGGGCCCACATGGCCTGGTACACTAAGCCCTGGAGAGGGCACCACTGCCATAGTCATACCAAGCTCTTCAAGAGTGCCTGCAATACGCTGGGCTCTGTTCTAGCCCCTAAATATCAGCTCGTTAGGGCCTCATGACAGCACACAAGGTGGGTACTCATGTCTTCCCCGTCTCATGGTGGTGGAGGGCCCAGGCCAGGAGAAAGAACTCCACTTCCAGGCTTTCCAGATGTGAACTCCTGCCAGAGAGATGCCAGGACCTTGACCTCTCCAGGGAAAAGGGGGGCTGGTGAGAGCCAGCAGTGGAGGGAGGGTTCTGTGGCATAGGGGTTCACACAGCCACCTGAACCTCCATTTCCTCACCTGGGATAGGGTGGTTGCCGCTGCTGATAGGTCTGCTGAGAGGTGAAAAGAGGGATGGTGTGGGGTGTCAGGGGCAGAGGGACAGAGAAAGGTACCTTGGTTCTAAGGCCAGCCCTGCAACCTTGGGAAGGTCACCTAAGCTCACCAAGCCTTGGGTACCTTGTCTGTCAAATGTGTCTCTCAGAGTTGGTGTGCAGGTAAATGTGGGACACTCCAGGTAAGAGCGCCCAGCGATGCCAGGCACGTTCGTATGGATTCAGTGTACATCAGCTCAGGTGCAGCTGAGCTGTCTGTCTGTCTGCCTGTCTGTCTGTCTATCCAGGTGAGTGTGAACGGACAACATTTTCTCCACTACCACTATCGGCTCCCGCTGTCTCGTGTGGACACTCTGGGCATATTTGGCAACATCTTGGTGGAGGCCATCGGATTCCTGAACATAAATGTGAGTTCCCTTGGGGCCAGTGTGAGTTCCCTGAATGGCAACTGCCCCCGACTTCCCCTGATGTCTGGATGGGCCCAGGACCACCCCCTCTGCCCCAGGCAGGCCCTGTCACACCAGCTATAACCAAGGGGGAGGGGATCCATCAAGTTGCAGGATATGAGGGGGGTGAGGAGCTGACCACAGAAGGGGACCCGAAGGCCACGGCAAGGAGGTGGATCACTTGGACACTTGGAGCCACAAGGCCCAAACAGCAGCTAGCTCTGCCATTCGCCCCCGAGGAGCTTATGAAAAATGCAGATTTCTAGGACCTGCCACCAGACATTCTGAATCAGTAAGTCTAAGTTGGGGCCCAAGAATCAGCACTGCCAAATGCCAAGTTTGAGAACCACTGACAAGGCCTACAGGGAGAATGAGGAGCTGCCAAAGCCAGCCTCTGCCCACCCCCTGGACAGACAGGGTAGGCGGGAGCCAAATAATGACTCTCAGAGCTTGCAGTGGTCCTGAATCCCGCGTGTGGCTTTCTCTCCTTCCCAACAGCCGTTTGCGGAGGGCGGCATCGAGTATCCCATTGGATACGTGAGTCTCTTGGGAGCCAGGTTGGCCTCTGTGGTTCCACCAGGGCTCCCTGCTCCCCCAGCCTGACCTGCCACTCACTGGGCCGCTGCCCAAGTTAACGAAAGCCAGCTGCTCCATCTTCCCTCACTGCACAGTTGCCATGGATACTGCCAGCCCTTCTTGGTCCCCAGCAGGCCTTGATTCGCCTCTCCCAGCCCGAGCCAGCAGGGCCAGCTTGGGAAGATGGACGGGGTGCACTGGCTGCCCAGGATGGCCAGAGCTCCAGGAGTCCTCTCAGGAGATCCCACTCGGCTGGGAAAACTTCTCTTCTCACAACCCGGGGAAGCAGCTGGGGTGGGCTTGTCAGGAGGGAGGGGTAATGAGGCCCAAGGCCACATTCACAATGAGTGAATGACAGACCATCTGTCTAGTTCCTCCCCATTATTCCAGACCTGGGGTCCATCTGGATCCAAGAGGGACCCCCTGGGGCTCTAATCAGTCGCCTATATTGTCTGAGATTGACAACACCCAGGTACCCCCAGTTCTTAATAATAATGTTGAGAACTCTTTCACTGAGCAAGCACTGCATGGCTTCCATGTCCTGTTTCTCTCCTTGTTAGCCCTTCCTGCTGAAGAGCCCCAGCCTGGTAAGTGACCTCCCTTCTGGGTCTGGTGGTGGTGTCCTCCCCGGTGTTGTCCCACCCCTACCTGGTGGGAAATGCCCTCAGCGTCAAGCTGCCCCCTTCCTTTATAGAAACCTGCAGGCTGCCTGGGTGGGCCAGCAGCTTCAGGCTGAAGCTCTAGCTTCATCTTCCCTTTTTCCCACTTATTCTGCACACAATTATTTGCTACTCCTCTGTACCAGGCCTGGTGCCAGGCCCTGGGAGAGAGGGACCAGCTAGTCCCAGCCCTCCAGGTGCTTGCAGGCTGGTGGGGAGGCAGACCAATGAGCAGGTGGTTCAGGATGCAGCAATGGGGGACATGTCAGGGGCTCAGAGCCCCAAAAGGCCAGGGAGAGCTGAGGCCTGCAGTAGATGTTTAAGAAATGAGCAGAGCTGAATCTCCTGGCTGCAGGCCTAGAGGCAGCAGCCCTCCCCAAACTCCTGTGTGCCTCCCTACTCAGTCATCTCCTATCCTCCTACAGAAGGTGCCCTGCTCGTGTGCTCTTCCTCGGGGTCTCTGGCCTGGACAGGTCATCGTACTGCGGGCATTGGTCTTGTCAGAGCCAAAGGAGTAAGTATCCAGATGGAAGGGAGGGGGAAGCAACTCGGAGCTGAGCATGAGCACTACAAGCATTACCTTTTTCATCTCCAACGCCACTGCTCCTTTGTGGAGCTTGTGGTTGGGAAGGTGCTCAGTGCTTAGTCCTAACCACTGAGCACCATCCAGTGGCCAGTGCCCCCAGGGCCCCAACAGCCCCAATTCTGGGAGTATCTGCCCTGTCTGTATGTACATCAGGCCAACCAGCCTCTCGTCGCAGGTACCAGCTGGGGCTCTGGGAAAGGTCCTTCAAGGGCCCAGAGAGAGAATTTGGCCTCCTGGGGTGACACAGTGCAGTGGTTTAGGAGACACGGCCAGGCAGCCCCAGAGAGGAGGTCCCCATTCGGGTGTCTCGGAGTCAGGAACTTGGAGCCACTCAGTGACTACACTAATCTCTCCTACAGGGGGCGCTCCTGCTCCACTCCTCAAACCTGCGGGCTTCAAGCCACTTTTTCTTTTTCCTTCTTTTCTCCCTCCCTACTCCTCCTTCCTTCTTTCCCCTTTCCTTTCCTTCTTGCTGGAATTGTGTTGGATTTCATGACTTTTCTGGGCCGGATTACCTGGATTTGACTTCTGCTGAGGACACTTGCTACCCTTGTGTCCCTTCAAGGCAGTTCCTTTGCCTTTCTGTGCCTCAGTTTCCTTGTCTGTAGAAAGAGGTAATAATACTGCCAGCTTCAGGGTGGTTTACATACTTAGAATTATGGCAGATGCATAATAAGTGCTCTACAAATGTGCTAGCGATCAAAATTACTTCCGTGGAGGGGCAGGAGAGAAAAGGAAAGGCCCTGTATCCTTCCTTTCTGTTTCAGTTTTGTTTTCCTAGAATCATGACCTTACTAAACTCTTGCCCTGCATGCTCTTGCACAAGCCTGTGAATTCTGGGGCAGGCATGCAGCACAGCCCCGGACAGCATGAACCTCCAAAGCCAGGCACGACAGGGCTGGATTCCTGCTTTTGCCTCTTATAAACCATGCGGTCTTGGGGAAGTCACTACCCCTCTTCTGAGCTTCCCCATCTGAATAAAAGGAGAAAGATCATCTCAATCCTAGAGGGAAAATGGACAAGTTCCCAGTGATAGAGATACACCCTCCCCCACAGAAACTTGGAGACATGATACCACATTCATATCCTAGCTCAAAGTCAAATGGTTATGATTGGTCACACAGCAAGTAATTTAACTGCTCTGTCTCAAGAGCCATGAATTCACAAGCCCTCTGAGGCCAGACAGATCACATAAATAGTGAAGCCCTGGGTTGGGAAGGTAAAGTGGAAAGAGTATTTCCATAGAGCCAGATCTTCTGATTATTTTAAAAAGAGGAGCACAAAGCCATCTCTCATATAAACTTCCTCAGTTTTGAAACATGGTCTTACCTGGATGTTGAAGAACACTATGGACCACCCAGGACATTTCTACAGATCACTTCCACCAGGAGCCACCAACATCAAGACTTAGCACAGTGCCTGGCATTCAGCAAGCCCACAATAAATGCTGTCACCATTGTTTTCCGGAAGCAACTGCGGCTTGAAATGGACAAAGGGAGTAGGAATTGGAGGGCATGGAATTCACCACTGTCTGGGGTGTCCTCCTAGAATAGATCCAACAGGAGTCCCTGGAAGGCTGGCCCAAGGTTCACCTTTTCCTGGCTTCACCCCGCCCTGTGTCCCTTGTGCCACCTGGTCTGCCCACTATCGACCACTTCCTGCCCAGGCGTCACTCACCAGTAGCTTCAGGAGTGTGATTTCTAAGGTGCCTTTGGAAGTCCCAGAACAGGAAACAGGATGTGGCTGCCATATGAGGGGCAGGGGCCAGGCAGCAGAAAGTCCCCCAAATCTGGGTCCTATATTGTTCCCAGCCCAACCCAAAGCCCCACAGCTAATACTAGTGACAGGGTCAGCTAGGTGACTTCTTGTCCTTGTCAGTTATATGGGCTGCTGAACCTCAAGCCACTGGATTTCCGGGAGGACTCCGAAAAACACCCACTATGTGCCGCGCACTTGGTAGATTTCATGTACATGACCTCTTTTGTTCCTATCAATGAGAGGTATTGTATTATACAGTAAGATTTGTTAAACAATAGGTGTGATTTGAGCGCTTATTACACCAGGTGCTGTTCTAGCACTTTACACATGTTAACTCAGCCAACACAACTCATGAGACAGGTATGGTACTCCTCTCCCCATACTACAGATCAGGAAACTGAGGCACGGAGCCATGAAGTGACGTCCCCAAGCTCACAGGACTAGAAAGCAGTAGAGCAGGGTTGAAGCCAGATAGACTAGCTCTAACCCCCACAGTATACCTGGCCTATAGCACCCAATAAATGTTAGCTACTACTTATATAATTCTCCCCATCCCAAGGAGGGGGAAACGAGGCAAGGTAATTTGCTCTCCCAGGGTCCTCTAACTGGTGGGTGGCAATGTGGGGACTCTGTCAGGTGTGCCTGGGACTCGCTCAGGTGTTCCCACCCCTCTGAGCTGCTGAATCTTCCAGCTGCACTCCCACATCTGTCTCGGTGCTCAAGATCCAGCAGCCACAGCTTGGAGAAGTCAGGGAGCCCCTTCTCTGGCCCCTTCTCGTAGTTTCACACTGAGCCTGAGTGATGAGGCTGCGCACGTGCCTGTGACGCTTAGGGCTTCCTTCGCAGACAGAACTCTGGCCTGGATCTCGCCCTGGGGATGCAAGAAGCTTATCTCAGCCCCCTTCATCTTCTACCCACAGCGATTCTTCGAGGTCAGTCAGAGCCAAGTAGCCTCATCCTTCCCCAGTGGGCACAGAGCAGCATTCCCCTGGGGAGACAGGGGAACATCCTGGGGCAGGGGGAGGAGGACTGTGGGGCTGGGAAGCCAGAGCCTGCCAGGAGGAAGAAACATCCACCCCGTGGCTCTCAACCTTCCATGTGGGTGCCAGCAATCCCACTTCCAAAACATGGATTTAATTAATCAGAGCAGCCCCTGGCATTAGTGTTATTTAAGATAAAAAAAAAAAAAAACAGTGCCCCACCCCCATGACTCCATTGTGCAGCCAGAGTTGAGAACCAGTGCTGGAGAGAATGCAACAGGCACAGATGGTGAAACCGAGGCCCAGGGCTGGGATCGCGGTGGTCTGATGACAAGCTGGGCGCCCCCCTCCCCAACCGCATCCTGTTCTTTCCCACCCTGGGTGCCCTGTGGTTTGGGTCTTTGTGACCTCCGAGGGGAGGGCTTACTGGGTGGGGTGTCAGGCAGCTGGTGGAGAGTCTGTCTGGAAGCCTGCAGGCCCCTGCTGCCCTTTCCAGGTGCTGCTCCTATGCCAGGAGGGAGGCCTGAAGCTGGCGCTCAATGGGCAGGGCCTGGGAGCCATCAGTCTGCACCGGCAGGCCCTAGAGCAGCTGCGGGAGCTCCGGATCAGCGGCAGCGTCCAGCTCTACTGTGTCCACTACTGACAAGTGAGCCAGGGACTCCGCCAGGGAAGAGAAGGGCTAGTCCGTGCCTAGCGCCCCATAGGTGGCTCAGCTCTCCTCCCTTCAAAAAGATTAGAGGTATGCCTGTCACCACCACCTGAGTCAGCAGGGGCTTTGGGCCCCACAGCAGAGGGAAGGAAACTGTGTGAAAAGGCTCCACCCACCAGGAGCCTGGGACCTGGCTCCATCCTCCTTTAGGGCCTACACAGGGGGCAGGTGTAACAGCCTAGCAAGGACACTCAAAGGTACAGTGGCTTCGGGGCGCCTGGGTGGCTCAGTCAGTTAAGCGTCCAACTCTTGGTTTCAGCTCAGGTGGTGATCGCAGGGTCATGAGATGGAGCCCCATGTTGGGCTCCGTGCTCAGCAGGGAGTCTGAGATTCCCTCTCTCCCTCTCCCTCTGCCCCTACCCTGCTTTTGAGCACACCCTTCTCTCTCTCAAAATAAAATCTTTTTTAAAAAAGTACAGTGGCTTAAAGAATTGAGACATGCATTTCCTTCTCATCTAACAGTTCTGGAGAAAATGGTCCTGGTCTGTGGAGCAGCCCCATGGACCTTTGGGAGGGTCCCAGCCATGGCGCCCCATTTCTGGGGCATCATCATCGTCTGGGTGGCTGGGTCTCGGATACCACCACCCTAGGTTTCAGTCACTGAGAAAGTAACTAGAAAATGTATACAAGGCCCACCTGCTTTCAGAAGCCCCAGCCTGGGATTGGCATGGCCTGTGTACACTCACATCTCCTCCATAAGCAGTGGGTCACAGGCCACTCTGGGCGCAAGGAAGGCTGGAAATGTGCTCCAGTGGGATGGCCAAGTGCCAGGCCATGGTTCCACCACTGTGATTCCTGGTATGTGCAGGTAGATTTTGTGTTTTCCATGTCCTGTGCTATTTTTTCCCTATATTTTCAGCTTTCTTGCTTGCTACTGGATTGCTGAAATCTTTAATCACCCTCCCCACCTTTTTTTTTCTTATAGTGGCTTGGAAGTTATAAGCTGCATTTTATACTGCTAGTGGTTTTCCTCATTTTTTATTATTAACAATAAAATTGGGGGATCCCTGGGTGGCGCAGCGGTTTGGCGCCTGCCTTTGGCCCAGGGCGCGATCCTGGAGACCCAGGATCAAATCCCACGTCGGGCTCCTGGTGCATGGAGCCTGCTTCTCCCTCTGCCTGTGTCTCTGCCTCTCTCTCTCTCTCTGTGTGACTATCATAAATAAATAAATAATTAAAAAAAAAAACCAATAAAATTGACTTTTGGAGATGGGTAAAATTCTGAGTTTTAATATATGCGTGGATTTGTGTAACCATCACCATCACAATCAGGATGTATAACAGCCCCATCTCTCCAAAAAACTCTCTTGTATCACTGCTTTGTAACTATACCTTCTCCACCCCACCCCTAACCCCAGCAACCAGAGGATCTGTTTTCCACTCTGACATTTTGATTTTCAAAATGTCATAAATGGAATCATAGTATCTGACCTATTTAATCCAGTTTCTTTCATTCTGCATTATCCTTATTTAAAAAAAAAAAAAAAAAGATTAGAGGTGCCTGAATGGTTCAGTTAAGCATCTGGACCTTTGGCTCCAGACATGATTTCAGGGTCCTGAGATGGGGTCCTGCATCGAGCTCTCTGCTCAGCGGGGAGTCTGCTTCTCCCTCTCCCTCCCCACCACTAGTGCTGTCGCTCTTTCTCAAATAAATTAAAAAGAAAAGATTAATTTATTTATTTGAGAGAGAGAGTGCATGAGCAAGGGTGAGGGGAGGGGAGGCGGGGGGGGGGGGGAGCAGACCCCCTGCTGAGTGGGGAGCCCAATGTGGGATGTGGGGCTAGATCTCATGACCCCATGATCAAGATCATGACCTAAGCCAAAACCAAGGATTGAACCACCCAGGTGCCCCTGCATTAACCCTTTTGAGGTTAATCTAAATCGAGATTAATCTTGCTGTATGTATTAGGGACCCATTTCTGTTTATTACTCAGCAGTATTCCATTGTACCACAATTTGCTTATCTATTGATCCATCGAAGAACATGTGGGGTGGTTTTCAGATTTTGGCAGTCATGAATAGAGCTACTAAAAATATTTGCATGCAAGTCTTTGATGAATATAACCTTTAATTTCTCTAGGGTAAAAACCTGGTAGTAGAATTTCTGGACCATATGATAAATGCATGTTTGATTTTATAAGAAACTGCCAAACTATTTTTCAAAGAGTGACTGTACCATTCTGCATTCCCACCAGCAATGTGGGAGATTTCCAGGTGTTCTGCATCTCTGTACTTGTTGCTGTCAGTATTCTTTATTTTAGCCATCCTCACTGGTGTGTAGGGGTATCTTGTTGTGGGTTTTTTGGGTTTTTTTGCCACTGGCTGCTTGGAGTTTATTGTCCACTTGGTGCAAGGCACACAGTCCCAGGGTGTCGGGAGGGCTTGCGTGTGGCTTGGACAGGAAAGAGTGGGATTCTCTCCACTTCCTTTTTTGGTGCTTTGCTATTTTGATACAAAAGAACCCAACAGCTTCTGCTCGCTGCAGCCGGCCTAGTCCACAGGAAAGGGGGGGAGGCGAGGGAGGGGGATGAGCCGGGCCCTCCGGCGAGCCGGGCGCCTCGGGAGCCGGTGCGGGCGCTCAGGACGGCGGCCCGGGGTTGGCTCGGCCAGGCTGGCGCCCGGGCTGCTTCCTCACGGCTTCCAGGGCCACGTCCCCGGTGCCGGCGCCGCCGGAGGCCTGGGAAGGCTGCGGGCGCCCCGGCGACTCCAGCACGGTGGCCGTGGACGCGAGCGCGGACTTCCCGAAGCCCCTGCCCGCCGGTGGCCCGGGTCGGCCTCGGGGAGCCCCGGGGGCGCCGCGGGGTGTCGGGGCCGCGGCCCGCCCGGCCGCCCAGGAGCCCGGCGCCGGTATAGCCGTGCGTGGCCACGAGCGAGCCGCCGGGCGGGGTGGCCGCCGTGAGCTCCCGGCCCCGGCCCCGGCCCCGGCCCCGGCCCCGGCCCCGGCCCCCGGCGGCGCCAACGAAGCCGCCCTGGGCGCGTCCCGCGGGCCCGGGGCTCCGGGAAGCCGCCGGGCCGCCCCGCCCCGCCCCGCCCGCCCGCCCGGCCCCCACCTCGGCGGCGACCCCTGGCGGGCCTCGGCGCGCGGGCACAGGTGGCGGGGGCGGGGACGGGGGCGGGGACGGGGGCGGGGGCGCCGGGCGGGGGCGGGGACGGGGCGGGGGCGGGGACGGGGCGGGGGCGCCGGGCCGCCGAGGAGACCGCGAGGGCCGCGCCGCCACCGACGCCGCCGGCGCACGCTCCAGTTGTGGTGTCGATTTACTTTTCCCTAAGGTCTGAAGGTGGTGAGCGGCGCATCTGCTCTCTGGTGCAGCGCCTGTTTTCTCTTTTATTTTCTTCAGTTTTTTTTTAAAAAGCAATCTTTAGGGGATCCCCGGTGGCTCAGCGGTGTGTCGCCCGCCTTCAGCCCAGGGCGTGACCCTGGAGGCCCGGGATTGAGAACTGCGGCGGGCTCCCTGCATGGGGCCTGCTCCTCCCTCTGCCTCTCTCTCTTTCCGTGTGTCTCTCATGAATAAATGAATAAAATCTTTATTAACAAAAACATGTATTTTTTAAATGTCTCCCCACCTCGTCTTTTCATTCTCTAAGCAGCTCCTTTCACAGAGCAGGAGTCTAGCTTTGGTTCTGATTCATCAATTTTTTCTTTTTTTCTTTTTTTAAAATATTTTTTTCTTTATTTATTTATGATAGTCACACAGAGAGAGAGAGAGAGGGAGAGACACAGGCAGAGGGAGAAGCAGGCCCCATGCACCTGGAGCCCGATGTGGGACTCGATCCTGGGTCTCCAGGATCGCACCCTGGGCCAAAGGCAGGCGCCAAACCGCTGCGCCACCCAGGGGTCCCTCATCAATTTTTTCTTGTACGGATTGTCCTTTTAACGTCATGTCTAAGAATTCTTTGCCACATGAAGATTTATCCTTTGTTTTCTTCTAAAAGTTTTATACTTTTGTTAAATAATAAAACTGAACTAAGGAAATCTGGAGATCAAACTGGCTTTATTAAACCATTCATGAGCAGGTATTAAGCCCTGTGGGACCCAGGAAATTGAACAAAACCCCCCACCCCTGGACAAGCAGAGCAGGACTGACT